TGAATATGGATACTATTGTACCGCTGAGGTTGGTTCCCATGACCACAGCGTTGGTGTATTTCATGGGCAGTTTGGCGGCCGCCCCGTAGTTACAGCCCTGGAGTACACCAGTGGCCGAGTTTATGATAACCGCCGATAGCATCGTTAGCCAAAAGAATACGTCCGGCCATCCCGTGGTGTCCAATACGGCCAACACGATTGTGGCCACAAATATCACCGATTGGAGCAGTAATGAGAGGGATATACGAGTGGACAGGGATCCATAGCTAGAGTTTTATAAGGGATAGGTCAGAGGTAAGGTTATGGTGTCTTAAGTATCTCTAACATAAATATGCTTACGATTTGTTGGCAAATAAATTAAGTATTTGTAAGAAAACGTTGGGAGATATGGAAGCGATTCCCAGATATGACAAGAAGTTAGTCCTGTAGTTGACTAAAGAGTCGCTTCCAGTGTGGCTCACATTGAGTTTGTAATCAACAAAATACTGTCACAACATTTGGTATCTTATATTTAGTTTTCAAATATCTTATCATTAAATATATTTTTAAGACATAAAACACTACTAAATGTGTTTTTATTGTTTACACTAATTTTGATCATTTTATTCAATGATTAGGCGGTCATCGCCTTAATATTTTGTATAATTATCTTATGTAGAGAGAGAGAAAGAGAGAGAGAGAGAGAGAGCCTTTATAATTAAATAGTATTATACTATATTTTAAATTATAATATTTAATATAATATTTTATAATTTTAATTTATCAATATAAGTTATATAAATATACTTACACTATCAGCGTTTATAAACATATTCCATGGCAATAATGTACCAATACCATTTATTAGCAATATTCCAAACACAATGTTATATCTGTTTCACAAATTTCTTAATTAATTATAAATTATTATTTATTAAATACCTGTCAATCGGATCCATTGATATGTTAGAATAAATTATTGTAATTTTAAATGAATTTAAGTTTTATAAACATTTTCAACATAAGATAAATATGTTTAAGAATATATAAACGTGGTTTTGGTTGGAAAAATTTGATTTTCAGTTTCAAACTTTAATATCGCGTTCAGCACCTCCTTATATAAACAAATACTGCATATTATCAATAAATCCGAGAAAATACTGATTTTAACAATTCCCTAGTCTATAGACCTAGGGTAGATATAGAAACTATAGTCCATTGGTTTATGAGATACTTGCGATTTAAATTAAATAACTATTAACCATTGAATAATTAAAGTTATACATTTTAAAAACCACAGCAAATAAATAAATAACTACAAAATAAATAACAAATAAATATTTTCATTATTTAATAATAATAAATTTTACAACCTAAGTAATAGTCATGTTTTGAAAACAAATAAAAAATTGAGTATAAAATATATTTTAAAATGAATCCATGATTTGTTCGTCACTTATGTCTCAATAGTGAAATAATTTCCATCTTAATAGTCGTAATCATTTAATCCTAAAGTTTAGC